TCATGGTGCATCCCCGCTCGATCATGGTGCATCCCCGCTCGATCATGGTGCATCCCCGCTCGAACATGGTGCATCCCCGCTCGAACATGGTGCATCTTTACACCCACCTTGTAGAGAAAGCCTCTGGTCCTCTGCTCTTTCACATAATAGCTTTGGAACTTGCAATTATGTAAATTACACGTTTCCACATTTAAGTCTCTGTTTATGCTTCAAACTACCATTACCATTTATTAAAAAGATGAAAGGAGCTGTATACAGATATATTGATGATGACGCAGGTTATCTAGGCAGTTCATGGTAGTTACCTTAAGATACAGTTAAACAACAGTTATTAACAACAACAAAAAAAACATGAAAAATGCAACTGTTTAAATGGCTACTGACTCACCAGGCCCTCTTGTAAAAATTTGATTGATTCGAAACATATATTTTCTGCATAGTTATTATATATATATAGATATTGGTAACACTTTACTTGACAGGCCACAAATACTAAGTAATCACTCAGTTACCAATGAAGTACAAATCATGAACAAATAAAGTTACTACTTGACAAAAAGATGCATCACAATCCATTGATGAACAAGCGTAAGATCAGTATTTCACTTGTTTTAGTCATGACTTGTTCTTTCAGAAGTTCCTTAGTAGTTCCTTCTGTATTTACAAAGGTTTACAGAATTAACAGAAATAGTACAAATATACTAACTACTTGAGATACCACATGCTTCACACTTCATTAATGAAGAATTAACATGAGATCAGTATGTAAAGTTTTTGATTGATTTATTAATACATAAGTAATAGCATAATACTACATTACTTGTGCCCCATCAAGTAAAGTATTACCAAGATATTAGGATATATTCCCACTTCGGCTCACTTTATGCAGTCATACCTGCATTGTTTCTGATATGTGATGAGTCCATTAAGTCCGTATCCTGTGCTTTTCCCAAACAGTGACCTCCTTGGTATTGACCTGCCAGGTTTGCACTGCAGCCACCTACTTTTGGGGCTTTCTTTTCCTTCAGTCCCTTCTCCAGCAGCTGAAAAGCATGCTTGTTTGGGTATATGCTCGCAGCCACACTACCTGCAGTTCAGACTAGGTAATTCATTTGAAGCTAAGCAGGTTTGGGCTTGGATGGGAGACCAACTAGGAAAGCTGGGTTGCTGCTGGAGGAGGTGTTGGTGTGGCCAACAGGTTAGCCAATCCTGAGGTCTTTGTGGATCCCAATGCCCCAGTGCAGTGATGGGGACACTGCACTGTAAAAATGGTGCTGTCCTTTAGATGAGACATAAAACTGAGGTCCTGACTCTCTGAGGTCATAAAAGATCCCTGGGCATCTTTCAAAAGAGTAGGGGTGGAACCCCGATGTGCGGGCTAAAACTGCCCACTGTAGCCCTATCAAATCTGGCCTCCTAAGCATCCCCTGTATCTAACTGGTCAATTCTGTCCTGCCCCTTCACCACCTTAGCTACGGTGTGGTGGGGGTACTGGTGCACAATGGCTGCCGTCACATCATCTAGGTGGGTGCTACACAGTGGTGGTCGTTCAAATGGCTCCTCGATGGTTCCAGACCTATCTCATGGATCGGGTATCGGCCATACGTGACCGATTCATGTCCGATACTTACTCATTTAGTGTAACTGTGTAACTGACGTTGTTGCCAGTGGAAAAAAAATTGTGGGGCATTTTAAGCGTTTGCCACTTGCGTATACTTTCCTGGATGATATTCAAACTGAATTGCAAAATGCCTCAAAAACACTTGAAACAAGATGTACAAATAAGATCGAACAGTATGTTATGTGTGTCTCATTTGTATTTACTACTTTAAAATTATTAATAATGCATAAAATATAAATATATATTATACAATTATTATATTAAAATATTTAAGTAAAAATAGCTCTTGTATCAGAATCTGTATCAGTATTGGCAGTTGTGTATCAGAATCGGATTGAGACTGAAAAAATGTGGATCCGCCCATCCCTACTAACGATGTATATTTTTCTTCACAACTAACACTGTTGTACATTTATTACATGTGACAATGGTAACATTGTCATGCATTCCAGATAACTTGCTATACCTGTTGCATCAAAGCCAAGTCTGCCCCTAACAGTCTTCCCTTGGGGCACCTCAGGCCTGCCCACCAGCATGTGTTTAAGCAAGTGAGCAGCTGAAAACTGTATGCGCATGTTCAACGCGCTTTCAATAATGCGCTGTGGGGCACGATCAGAATGGCTTGTGCCGATAGCAGCCAATAAAACGTAACACTAATTGATTTGACATAGGTCAAGACGTTGTCATTGTCCTTTTCAACCAACAGCTAGCTGTTATGATAGCCACCACCAGCAGTGGCAGTAGCAATAAAATGTAGTGACGGTCAAATGAAGCTTCATGAACCGTTTGCTGTATTTTCAGATACCACTAGATGGCGCTGTTGGTTTGCTTTGGGGCATGCAGTAAGTCCTTTATTAAAGATCATATTTAGCAGCTTGCTATTGGAGCTTTGGTCTATACATCCAGCATGTCACATATGCTATAATATCTGATACACCTGGCAGTAAAAAATTGACAAAAAAAATTGATTGGTGATTGACAAGTTTGCCCAGATGAAAGATCGTTGTGCAAGTTTTCCAGCATTGAACGTCACTGGTGAGTCTATTTTGCATTATTGCCAGGTTGTTTTGAATATAAGTTAAAGTCCTTAAAGCAACGAGCATCCCCACTCTGAAATGTTGCTTTGAATGTGTTATAAGAGTGATCATTTAGTGCTTAATAAGTTTGGATTTGTAATTCAATGTGGTATAACAGGGTAATATACCAATTCTCTGAGCTCAAATGCAGTTATTGATAATGCCACTCATATCGCTGTCTCCAGTTCTGTTTACTTCTGCCCCTGTTATATTAGTGCATTCTTGTGATTTAACTGGTGAGGTGCATTACTATTAGGGTTCATTGAGCCAGTACATTGCATGTTAGTGTTTATTGTGCCCCACCAGGCTTTCTGTGCAAGAGACACCACTGATGGAGAGAGAAGTTGAACAGAGCCCCCAACCGCGCGGCCACTGAGTGAGTGATTTTTTTTTCCCAGCAGTGACAGGGGAACATAGCTGGGCCTGAAACTTTACCTACTGCTGGCTGATAAACATTATCAAGCGCTTTTCCACCGAAGTTCAGGAACTGTGACCTTTATGCCAAATAAACACGGGTGATGCAAAAAGCTCATAGCTTACGCTTCACACAGAGTTTCTTAGGAAACTACAACCCCACCCCAATAACAATGGAGGATAAGTCGTTTTGTTAGTTATTTGCTGTTTCGTGATCCCGTTCAAAACAGGACACACCCTTTTATTTATACAATCCATGAAATGTTTATAATTCAGTGTGAAATCTGTCCAGCAGATCCATCACTCGTTTTCCACAGAATAAAAAATGATGTAACGTTATTTCACCAATAAGCGCCACTGGATATTAGAGAAAAAATTATCGGTTATCGATCAAATTTTCCATTGCAGAAATATGGAGACGCAAGCAAAAAGCTATTCATTAATGCATTAAATGTAACTTAGGTACAAAAACAACTACATCTGCTCAACTTTTGCACGTTTACTTCTGTCTCCTTTCCCAGCACTTCTACGTAACTTCCAATTTAGCACAGGCGCATGCGGTCAACCAGTCAGCAAGCTTATCGGCATAAGACAATGATGCTATGCACGTGACATGAAAGAGGCTAGGCAGTAGCTAATTAATATGTGGGCTCACTGCCAACTGGACAGGGGTGTGAATTACTTGAAGTTACGGTAGATTACCCTCAGTGTTCAAATCCGTCAAAATGACAGATGGCATCAGATTTTTCTGTCATTGTTAAAGAATATTTGGTGAACACAACCTCTGAGTATTCCTGATCTTTTATCCTGTTCTCAATGGTATTTCTCTTCCTGTGGCTCCAGTGGTTTTGCTGAGTTCCACCACCTCATTTGCTATTGTCCCTGGTCCATTCTTCCTGCGTAATGATGCAGCACACAGCTGATGCTCCGTGCTTTTGCTGTGTCCCATGTTGAGTTATTCTCAGATCTTGTGTCTGCTTCATGTTTGCCAGCCTTCTAGCACTTCGTTAGACCGCATGCTGCCAGAAATCAGCAATCAGATCCCAAAGGCAAATGTAAGGCTTTGAACTGATCACTCACGTTAAGGACTCTCTTGTGTTATTGTTTCCAACAAATTCACCTGCCTAACAAGAAACAGTTGTGAAGCCCACTTCCCAATTATTTTGGTAACCTAAAAACACTAGATACACTTTCTGTCATTTTATTCCTTTTTTCTTTTTCTCTCTCGTATGTGTAAGATCGCTGACATTATTCTGAAAATGAAAATTATGTTCCATCCATGTTTCCTAGCCATAAAAGTCTTGTGAGTGGGGCCTCACACTTGCCAGTCAAAATATCAGGCCTGACATATTTAGCCTCTCCTTTAGTATGACTCTCATGTGTCAAAATATCGCAGTAGATAATCAAGATCAAGCTTCGATTCAGGGGAAATGCATCCCAACATAAATGCTCCACTGAATAAGAATTTCTGGAGCAAAAAAATTTTTGTCATGGAATTCTTCCCAGTTCCCTGGAATGAAAATTGCATATATGCTTAATATGAAAATTCTTGCTAAAGTATAATAGTAAGTTGTACATATTGTTGACCTATCCATACATGGACAAACGTGTCCATAACCAGACTCATTTCTGTCCCTGGCAAAATGTTATGATTGAGAGGAAAAAAACAATGTCAGTTACATTTTTAAATATCATGTCATGTAATAAAAATTGCATTTCAATTGAAATTTCCATCAGAATTTGTCATGGTGCTGACCCTTATGCTCGGGTCATGTTTACTGGGAGAGACAACAGCACACTTCATCATTTTATGGCTTGAATGATGGAGTGGTGAAGTGAATCAATATAAACAGCCACAACGACATAATTCCTCCCCCCCCCGGAAAACTGACACTCCTCTATTATTGTAGGGGAACAGGGGAGTTACGAATGACCCTCCTGCTAAATACCACACATCAATGGCTGGCTGGGCTGCACTGGAAGGCCACACAGAAAAGAGGTTAAGATTAAATCACAGATCTGTGTAGCATTTGAATTCCTTCATGTCAATATTATTTTAACACTATGTTCCTCCTCGTGTTAAAAGTGTCAGGTCTAGTTGGATGACATGTGTGTGTTACTGATGCAGAAAGGAGAGCTCTGCTAATTACGCCTGGCACATTCTCATGCACTGCCAGCCTCCAAGCCTCTCTGCCAGCCTCCAAGCCCCACTGCCAGTCTCCAAGCCCCACTGCCAGCCTCCAAGCCTCTCTGCCAGCCTCCAAGCCTCTCTGCCAGCCTCCAAGCCTCTCTGCCTGCCTCACAGAGCAGTCTGTGGTGTTCAGAACATCAGCGCGTCTTCGAGCGCCGCCTACGGCAGTGAGATGAAGGTGTTGTCATAGAAATGGAAGGAGCTGGCCAGAGCAGACTCATCTCAGAAAAACAGATCCCTGTATTCTGCAGTCTGAATTAACCCCTTCCAGTCCCTAACCTTTTCAGGGAAAATGTAGCCTGTTGTCTCTCCTGCCTGCCCTGCTGCTGTACCACTGTCCATCCTGCCACCAGAAACAGTGCCAACACCCGCCTGCCATCACCTGCCTGTCCTCTGCATTTAGACTCGAATCTTAAAATTTGAATTGTGTATCAGGATTTTCTCATCTTGCTCATTTGACTTCCTCTGCTGGCCCCTGGAGGATGGACTCCCCCCTTGAGTCTGGTCCCTCCCAAGGTTTCTTCCTTCTAGAGAGTTTTTCCTTGCCAGTGTCGCCTATGGCTTACTCACTGGGGGCTTTGGGTGGGGATGCTGTAAAGCGCTTTGAGACAATGTGATATGAAAATGCACTACACAAATAAAACTGAATTACAATAAAATAATTAGCCTGTTTATTTAAATCTTGATTTTAAAAATATGGATATAATTTTTTTCACTTTTATGTTTCACTTTTTAATTGTGATAAATTGTGATACAGTTCTGGCATCCCATCCAGGGTGGCCCCGTTCAATATGCCTTGTGATCCAGGCTCAAGACTGAACTCCATCCTCTCCAGTATGGAAGGTGTCTGGATAGATGTAAATACAGCATAGTAATTTTAAGTATACGCTTACTAATTCCTCAGAGACACAAAAAAGCAGCAGCGAGGAGGACAGCGAGCTGAGTCACCAAAATTCAGTTTGGTGTGTTAATCATTACAAACATATACAGTACAACGGTACTCAGTGCCACATCACTGCAATTCTGAATTCAGCATCACAGCCAAAATAGCCATAATGTCATCATGTGTTTTTGTAACCAATGAACAATTTCATGAGTCAATTTGGTGAGGCATGTGAAATATATTTTTAAAACTGACTTGTAAAATACCTCATCCCTAAAGCGGAGACGGTCTCCTGGACACAGAAGGGTTACCTGTCCTAATTAATGGCTATCACAAATCAAAACACTCAACCTCAACTCAAATACACTGTCTACCGGAAAAGGAAGCCAATTTTGAGCAAAAAAAATGCAGTCTAGTTAAAGCTTTATACCTAGCAAGGTCATGAATATTAATTATTATCATTATAACCATAAAAGTCCCCTTAGTTGCAGATTATTCCTTCCCATATACAATCTGAGGCCAGTCTCTTCCTATGCTATCATATAGTAAATTGGTGTCACAAACTACAAGAGTCTGATAAATTCCAGTTGAAGTGACTGATGTTTTGAAACTAAAATGTTGGTTCACACATGTTCATAGTATCACCCAAACAGCTCCATCCAACGTATGTGGATACCAAATTTTGTGGTAATTAGTTTAACAGTATAGGAGAAGTTCATTTAGCTGCATTTTCTAATTGGTACTTTGAGCTTTATCAGCAATGATTCCGTAAGAACCCTCCATGGCATATTAAGGGAGCGTCAGTCACACACGAGCCTTACCATTAGGTCTGTGGTGTCACCAAGACCACCTTTAGTGTCAGAATAACCATCACAAAGAAAGACACAAAAACAAGATGGTCCCTGAACCTTTCCTGCTAGATATGACAGTAAGTGAGGGAAGATGGTCATCTACGCCGGTAAAGATCTCCTCACACCTGAGTAGTAGAACAGAGTATAAACGGCATACAGCAAAAAGTTATTTTCGTGTTGAACTGGTGACTAAACGGAGGTATGTAATAGCAACGTGATGCGTGCAGTTTACGGTGGGGACAGCCTAGGCAGAACGAGTGACACATGCGGCATGTAAAGGTACGCGGACGGTGGGCGGCAGCTATTTCAGAGGAAGCCGTGATTTCTGCCGGCTTCCTTCGCAGACATCCGTGAGTCAGTGCGGCCCCATACGCGGACAGAAGCGCTCATCTCTTTGTGAAATACGCGGAACCTGCCGTGACTAATTGGCTAATTCAGTTTCCTATGGCATACTCGTATTAAAAACGCTGTGTTGTCAATTAGCATCCTACTGCCATTAAGTGAAATGTGCCTTTAATATTAATAGCATTATAAATGATGAATATATAATTCCCCACCCCTCCCAAAGCAAGGGGTAGCTACATACAATCAGCGGCCACGTCTGCACGACTCCTCGTCCTTTTTGTTACCAATTCATCATGCATCCCCTGTTTTCCCCTCCGAAAACACTGACGAAAACCGGCCAACTTACTCCAGAGTAAGGGATGGGATTTTGAGTTTCTCTCTCCTTGATTTCATCTTTGGCGAGGCAGTGCTCTCCTGGCCGGCAACCTTATTTAGTAAAGCGTACTCGCTCCTCGAGTATCTTCGAGCAACAGAGATAACAGTCGCTTGTCATCTTGGTTTAAAATCTTAAAACGAACAACAAGCCTCGGGCTTTTAGGTCTGGGGTATCGCCCCTCACCCCCAGCTCCGTGAACGCGCGCGAGCAGAAGTGCACGGCAGATGCGGGTATCTAACACGTTCGTATGAACAGCGAACTCAGAATGTTCGGATCGCTCCTGTTACGGGGGAGGGAGAAAAACAAATAGCAGGCGCACACATCGAGGATCCGCCGAGGCAAATTCACCGGCAGCGCGTAGTCATCACTCCCATGTGACTGTTTAGGAGGCGGCTGCAGATGTCGACCGAAGACATGCATCAGTTAAGCGAGACGCATAGGCAGTTTAATTACAACATAATTTCACTGATGGCTGAATCTACACGTGATGTCACGTCAGTGTTACATGTCACCTTCTCAACCGTGGTGAGATCTAACGAATGTGATTAGACCTTTTCTGGACAGTTCTTACTGGCTGAAGTGAAACTAATTAAAACACCACGGTAGACTTCCACTTAAGCTTGTTGTGCTGTTTCGTGACTTTTTCGTTGTTTGGCTGTAATCTCAAGGCAAATCCTTTAATGCTGAAATTTAATCTTTACCAACACAATGTAAATTCTGTAATTCTGTCACATATTCTGCGCCGAAATTCTAGCATAATTTCAGAGTAGTTTTGATCAATGTTTAAGTAGCAGCTCGCCCACCAGGGGGCGTAGTGCCGAATCAGTTTAGAATCCCAAACATTATAGTAAGTGGTGGATATTTCAGCTGTTAGAATGCACACCAAGGGCGATAATAGGATTTGACCCAGGTCCCTGAATAAATACGGGACGCCCCCCACAGCCCACCACCGGGTATCCCCACATTAAAAAGTCTGCCGGGCGTGTGGGGGAGGGGGTCCCACGATAAAAAATAATCCGAGTGGGAGATACGAAATATATTCGAAAATAAATTTAATGGTTAAACATGGATGGTTTTAGAATAATTGTTTTTAGGTGGGTTCAGACATTGGGGGGTGGCCCAATGGACCCTAGAACTGTCAATGATAAATACAGTTGTAACGTCAACTGGCAAATGTAATAGAGTCACCTAGAATTAAAATTACTTGCAGAAAAGTGAACTAGTGAACTTATGTATTTTTCTGTATGTAACTAAAGGACTAGGAAAACGATTATAAACAAATTGGGTCTAAGAATTTAAAATCTTTGACTTGGGAACTATGTCTTTCCTTTAAATGAATTAACATATGATACTATAATTATTATTACAGAAACAGTAATACAAATCTGTGTTTTTATTTCAGTAAAAAGCCCTTGAGTAAAATGTCAATATTCTGCGTGTAAGCAGAATTTTTGCCATAATGATAAGACACAACTGGTTGTTAAGGAGATTCATAGCCGCTTGCAGTGGTTGCTAAGAGGCACTGCACAGTGCAGCATCCAAAGCCTGCCTTGGATACCGGGACTTTGGAGAGACGTGTTCCTGAGTTCTCAGTGGGGCTAAGCTAAAAGCTGCACGTCTATGCACCTGTCTCAGGGATAAATGTATTTTTTTCCCATTTGTTCAAATGCATCAGGATACCACAACATATGTTCATGCTATGAATTAAAGCAACGATAAGGGGTACACAATCACACACAATTTAGAACTATCGCCTTTTAATTTGCGTACTTGTTTACATCATGTGTGCTGTCTTTTCACTTTGGTTCACAGTGTTTATACACCACAGGTTTGTGCCACTTTTCCATTTATTTCACACACTGCAGTTTTTTATTCATGAAAAGCATTAGAAAGTTGACTGAACAATTATGGATGATAAAAGGATAAAAATAACTAAAATAAAACAAGTTTCCTTTATAAGATGGAAAGACTCTGTAACAGTCTGGCATCCTATTAACTGGCAGTGTGGTGATAGCAATCAAATTCTAGGATGTTCTTTAACTTTAAATGCACTAGTTAACTTGTCCATCCCATGAAACAGAGAAGTATTTAATGTCCCTTGCAGAATGAATGCTTTGAATTTTCTCAGCTGTTATAACAGCCGACATCCTCACAAGCTCTGGGTGAGAGTGTGAGGCCAGTGTGGCCTTTTCAGCAACAACACAGCGAGTGATAAGGATATAGCAAAGGCGGCCTGGAGGCCTGGTGGCCTGGTGGCTTGTGGTATCGGCTCACACCTCCAGGTTTGGGGTGTCAATCTCGCCCTCGCTTTCCCAAGCAACATCTTAACTATGCCAACCGTAACCCTTACATTGGGTCCCACAATGTAATAT